GGCCTCGCGCACAGCGAACAGGCGGAGAGAGTGCAACAGTCAGCACGGCCGCCCGCGACGGGCGGGCCCTCAGCATCGCCCAGGACGCAAATCTGCCGGCATCGGCCACCTGGGCACAGACGGCAGGGAAGGCGCACGCAAGACCGCGGGAGAGACTCGCCACAGCCGCATGCGAGCAGGCTGACCGGGCATGGACAGCGAGGAGAAACATGCGCACTGGGTGGGCTGCCCCACGGCGGCGTGGGGACAACGACTGCGGCAAGCGGCCTATCTCACGTGCGCAAGAGAGAGAGAGAGAGGGAGCAAAGACCGCGGCTAACCGCCGAGGTCGAAAGAAAAGAAACCAGCGAAGGCCCATTGCAGGCGGGGGAGAGAACGGCGGAGGCCAGGCAGGCGAAGAAGGCGCAGGCAGAGGCTGGGAGGAAAACGCGGATCGAGGCGCGGGCCAAGCGCTGAAGGATGACAAGGCCGTGCCCAGCGCGGAGACACACACACACACACACAAACACACACACACACACACACACACAGACGGCGCGTCGGCGAACCCTCCCCCGCCATTCCGCATGCCCTCCCTCGACGGACGAGGGAGGAGAGAGGGAGGAGAGAAATCCTTCCCTTCGAACTGCACCTCGGTCCCCGTGCCCCCAACCCCCCACCACCCCGACCCCCCCACCACCACCCCTCCTCAACCAACGCCCCATGTTCCCTCCCAGATGCCGTTCCCCAAAACGCTGCCTGATTTGGAGACGGCGCGCGCAAATGTTCATATCGAAACGGAACCCCCGTCGCTCATCCACGCGACTGAGCCCGTGCGTCTGCGCTTCTTTCCCACAATTCCCCCTGCCCCCTGCCCTGCCCCACTGCCATCCCCTGCCCGAGCCCCCTTCCCCCGCCCCTCCCCCGCCCTTGCCCCGCCCCCTTGGCCCCCGCGCCCCTGCGCCCCGCACCGAGCACAGAGGAGATAAAAGGGAGGGAGAAAGGGAGCGAGCGAGCGAGCGAGTGAGGAAGAGGAGGTGAAGGGGGAGAGCACGTGGATGCATGAGGGCAGGGGAGGCAGGCAGGAAGAGAGGGCGGAAGGAGAGGGAGGGAGGGAGGGAGGGAGGGAGGTGGAAGGAGGAGGACGTCGACCCCTCCCGCGACCTCTCCCCCCCGAGGCGCGACCCTCGGCCAGGACCTCGCCTCGGGCCCACCCCGCGGCGACGAGGGCCCGCCGCCCCAGGCCACAGAGAGCATACAGCCCTCCTCCCTCCTCCCCTTGTCCCTCCCTGCTCGCCTCGTCCCTCCCTCTCCCTCCTCCCTCCCTCGTTTCCCTCTCCCCATCAAGCCCTCCCTCTGCCCTCCTCCTTCCCTCTCCCTCTCCCTCGCCCCTCCTGTTCCAGCGTCCCTCCCCCTCGCTGTCCCGTCATCCCTCCCCTGGCCCCGGAGCCCCCCCCCGTCCCGCGTCCCTCCCGCTCCTCCCCGCCCGCCGCACCGACTCTGGCCGCGGCGACGCCGGGCCCCTGCTCCCCGAGGCCCAACAGGAGTGCGATATCTCCCCAACCTCCCTCCCCCTCCTCCTCCCCCTTCCCATCCCCTCCCTCCCCACCCTCCCCTCCCTCCCTCCCCCCCCCACCCTCCCTCGCCTTCCACTCCTCCCTCCTCCTCCACAATTACTCAATATGAATACTACTCTCCTCCTTCCCCTGATGACGGGTTGGGAGTGTTCGCCCCCCCCCGCGCACTGTTTTTTTACGCACAGGATTCCCCGGAATTGGGTTTTCGCCTGCATTTTTTTCTAAATGCTGCTCTCGCTGAGGCGCTGGCCTCATTTTCGGGCCCCGATCGTTCCGAATCGTGCTCCCGCTGCAGCGCTGGCCTCATTTCCGTGCTTCCGCTCGTTCCGAATCGTGCTCCAGCTGCAGCGCTGGCATCATTTCCGCGCTTCCGCTGGTTCCAAATCGTGCTCCCGCTGCAGCGCTGGCGTCATTTCCCGTGCCATGCCAACAGCACACGCGCCGCACCACCACCACCACCACCACCACCACCACCACCACCACCACCACCACCACCACCACCACCACCACCACCACAACCCCGCACACACGCACGCACGCACGCACGCGCACCACCACCCACTACGCACGCGCGCGCGGAGCCACAGGTCCGCTACGACACGCGTCCGCGGATAGAGAAAATCATCGCCATGGTAAGGGATGGGAGGGAGGGGTAGGACGTCAGATATGACGCGAGCGCACCTAGCTTGTCTCCCTCCCCTCCCTCCCCTCCCCCCTCCTCCCTCCACTCCCCTTCCCCTCCTCCCTCCCCGTCCCTCCCGCACGCCAACCCCGTCCCCCGAAGCCCCCCTCCCCCTTCCAGGGCCGAACTGCGCCTTGGGCTGCGCGCCGCGGGCTGCCATCACGCCATGGCCCGTGGGTGGTGGCCCGCGGCGCCCACCTTCTCCTATCTGCGCGCCGTTCCTCCTCCTCCTCCTCCTCCTCCTCCTCCTCCTCCTCCTCCT